CCTTGAAAATTGGCAAAGGCTACAAATCAGTGCTCCTTTTTTCCCTCCAGAGATTTAGTTTTTAAAACTTTACCAGCACATCACTGCCTGGGAGAGTCCTGGACAAGGAAGCTGGGTAGACTTCAGAATCCACAGGGAAAAATAAAGGAGGGTAAGGTGCATAAAAGTTGTCCCAGCCCAAGAATTCCTTGAGGATTTAGCACCAACTGGAGAAGAGTGAGTCCCTCATTCACCCACAGCGAGTGGGGTACACTTTGGAGGCATATGTATAAACACAAGAGAGCATTAGAATCTCAAGTTCTATTGAAACAAATTATAGGCCCACAGAGGGTGCAGGGGAAAGGGAAAAACTTCGATAAGTAACACGTCCAGATCATGAAATTGAAATCAGTCTTAGCCCACCTATCAAACTCTAAGTGCATTTTTCATTCATACTTGTTGCAACCACAAATAGTTGTTAATACACCAGACAGATCACAAAAAACACATTGTTTAGGGAAAAAGCAGAGCATTTACTAAGATGTTTCATTCTTACACTGACCTGGTGACTGTGCATCCAACAGGGTACCAGCTATGGAGCCACAAAAGTTCAAACTTCAGAGCATCTGTGCTTTGTGAATCGAGGAAGGGGCCCTGTCTGCCCTCCAATTGCCTTTACAAGCCAACTTGCAACTTCTTTTCTCCCAAGACTGTAATCACCTGTTTCATTAGAGAAAAAACAAAGGCAGCACCCTAAAGTCAGCATGTCACACACCAAACATAATTCTGTTGGAGCCACGCTGGCCAGGCTTCCAGGGTGAGCAGGCTTCAGCCTCCATGGGCCCTCACGATGCGCCCAGGCTGCCAAGGGAAAGAACGGTCACTGCTATAACGTACTCGGCTTCAGCCTATTTGGCAAAACCTGTGTGTCAAGCTCTAGCTCTCTATCACTATAAATTTGTTGGGCCTTTTCCCTTCAAAATCAAAGGAGATTCAGTCTAAGAGAGGCTGTAAATCTCTAAGATGGTGACAACTTCGGCCATCTGAAAAAATGGCAGACAAGAGGCTCTCACAACCAAGCAAGAAGAAGAGGCTGCTTTTTCTAGCACGGCCTGCAGTCCATGGCATCAAAGTTGAATCCTGGTCCAGGAACTAACTGGTGCTCTCATGTTAAGGCTAGGAGAGTCATCAGGAGGGAACGTGAGAGGCCCTAGCTCTGTGAGTGGTTGAGATCTGTCAGGGTAACTTTCTGCAGCAGTTTTATTTATGCCAGCACCTCATAGAGACTTCAACAGTCAAGCTGAAAGAATTTGTGTCTCCAGTGTTGTTGGTCGATGGCATCAATTCAACATCAGCAGGGTTATGGTGAAGAAGAAAACAGTATTCAGTGAAAACAGCTCAATAGTGTTATAGCTCAGTTATGAAGCAGCACAGAATGGCTGTGAGGTGGTTCTGGGGCCAGACAGCACTAGGGCAAACCCCTCTCTGGCTAGATAGCTCTGGCCTGCTCCACCTGCTCCTGTCTAGTCCACTCCACTCTGCCCTATAGCGGTCTGCTCCGCTCTGCTCCTGGGAGGCATCTTCAGTGTTTCAGCTCCAGTCAGGGAAACACAGTGTTCTGTCTTCAGTCTTCAGTGGAAAGAGAGGAGCTAAATTATAGACAAAAGTCCCCATCCTTGGTCCCCAATTGGTCTGTCCTCATGCAAATGAGGACTCCAAATTCTCACAGTTTGATTGATCCAAAAGGCACTGTCTTGATTGGTCAGAATAGCACCACTCTGGTCAGTGAAGAAGCTGCTGGGAATATAGCTGCTCCACCTCCTGGGACTCACCCACCTCTCTTCCCCTGGCCCCACCTCATTGCTGCGGCTAACCTCATCATCTCCTTGCCCTGGAAGGCTGCCATTATAGGCCACCTGCAGCCCCGGCCCCTCCCACTGGCCCTTGCCCACTACAGGTGATTCAACTGTTTCACAATGCACATTTCTCTGGGCCATGCCTCAGCAACTCCTCCGAGCCTGGGAGTAAAGTTGACACTCCAAAATTATGCGCTCTAATGGCCCCATGTTGACTCTGTCTAAACACTGGGTAGCTCATCCATGAGACCAAAAAGTCCTTCGAAGCCAGGAGAGCTAAGACAAAGAGGAGGTGTCCCCCTGGAGCCTGCTAGCTTTAGCTGAGCTGTATGGCCATGACCTAGGGCCAATTCTAACTTCAAGGTAAAGCCCTGTTTTCCCATTGATGGAGAATTTGAACCGGCTGAGGGGGCCTTCAAAACCATGTCCCTTAAGCATGCTGATGGTCCCATCTTAGGAGTCCTGCCCAGCAAGGTCTCTGCTTCATTACTGAAGGACAGAGACAGCAGTACTAACAATATGGTCTCCACATCATCTATACCACCTGCCACAAATGGTCCCCAAAGCCACCTCCACCAGAATAACAACCAATTGCCCTATCGGGAAAGTATGGGGCGCCCTCTCCCCTGGTCCCTTGAAATTCCCAACTTTGGATCAAGCTGATCAACCAGGTAAGCCCAGCAACATCAAAAAACACCATGTGGGCCCATACGACCCACACCAGTAAGCAGTGCAGCTGGCTGGACCCATCAGCCACGCCCCACACAGGACAGACATTCTGAATCCTTACGAGAGAAGACAGATGCTCTGGAAACAACCTCAAACAGGTGAGATCTGAGTGTGGGAACCACAGCATACTTCAGTGCCCATTCTTCAATGTGTCAGCACAGAAAGCTGAGGTCTCCAGGTGTAAACAGAGTCACAGGAGTCATGCACTAGGCCCCTTCGCCTGCTCTGCAGTTGCATCATGAAGCTCCTAAGAAAAGGGGTCCTGAATGTCATTGTGCACAGGACCCCATAAATGATGTAGCAGGTCCCAACTGTAAGTCTCCCATCAGCAGGGGTTACCAAGGGAGCAGGAAGGCACAGCTTAGTCCAAGCAAAATACAAGCCTTGTGGGGCTGTATCTCAATTCATTCCCAGTGTGTCAGAAGCAGTCCTTTGGGTAACTTTTTACTATAACATGCCCAGACATTGCAGTGACTTCCATGCACACAGAAATAGCATCAGTTGGCTCAGTCTGTGGGAGGAGGTGAGTAGACCAACTAAGCGTATCACTCTGGGCTCAGGCAAGTGTTCTTCAACTCATGACCTTAATAATTCTCTCAACAAATCACTGTAAATTTTCTGCCCTTTTAATACCCTAATTATTTCCTTCTCAGCAGAGTCAATCTGTCCACATTTCAGGCAAAATCAGTATAATTGCCTTTTCAAACCTCAGCAAAAATATAAATTGTTGTATAAAAAATTTTAAAAATCACTAAGAAGGCAGAAAAAAACATACAATTTATCTTTTTCTCTGTAATGGGTTCTGGGTTACTCCTTAAATGCTCACAATACCATCCAGAATGGATTTAATTTCTTTTATCAGAAAGGGATGTGCTTGTTGGCCTCACTCACAGGCAGGGTTAGGGTACACATGGGTTCTGACTGACAATAGGTCTGTTCTGGTGAAACGTTAGCCCCACGCTGCATTCCTCTCCACAGGAAACAGGCTTACCAACAGGGTGCAGACCCAGCTACGTCCTCCAATTAATGGTGCAGGCTTACAACACGGTGCCTAGGCCTCCACTGGGAGGGAAAGGGAGCATGTGCTAAGATTTACTCTTCAATTTTGAAAGACACGGTGATTTGCTATGAGTAATACAACACTGAGAGGCAGCTGTATAGGGGACAGTGAACAGCACCTCCCAGCAGCCTGGACAGGACGCTAGGGGACACCCCAGATCCTCACCCATCCCACTCATGCCAGAACCTGTCAATTATATTTCCAATAAAATGCTAACTCTTTATTAAATAATGCTATTTAAAGAGATGATAGTCCTAACCGGTTTGGCTCAGTGGATAGAGCGTCAGCCTGCAGACTGAAAGGTCCCAGATTTGATTCCAGTCAAGGGCATGTACCTTGGTTGCGGGCACATCCCAGTAGGGGGTGTGCAGGAGGCAGCTAATGGATGTGTCTCTCTCATCGATGTTTCTAACTCTCTATCCCTCTCTCTTCCTCTCTGCAAAAAAATCAATAAAATATATTTATAAAAAAAAGAGATGATAATCCCCGCAGCCTTAAATATAAGTTTGAAAATACACAAGCCTATCTAATAAAAGAGTAACATGCAAATTAACCATCACTTTGTGATAAAGATGGCAGCGCCCACAGCCAATAAGGAGGGAATATGCAAACTGATGCAACAAAGATGGCAGTGCCAGCTGGAGTCACGGAGCCAGCCAAAGAGTGGGCAGGAAGGCTGGCATCCTGAGTTGCCCCAGCCAATCAGGACACCAAGCCTGGCTGGAGAGCAGAAGAGCAAGCAGCATGAGCAGCTGCCTCACCAGAGTTCTCTAGTCCCAGGGGGGCGGCCGCTGAGAGCAGGCTGCCCCACTGGAGTCCTCCAGTCCTGCTTTAGCCTTGGAAATGACAGGCAAGGACGGGAGAGGGATGGGAATGCTACATCCAGTCTGGGTGCCACAGTGGGGTGCTATGTGCAGATGGGGTGCCCAGCCCACATCAGGGCATGGGCAGTGGGGGATGGGGAGCCCCTATTTGGGGAACGGACATGCAAAGAGGAGCCGCGGTCACACACAGGTCACCCACCTCCTCTGGAAAAATTCCAAGAAGAGAGAGCCAGGGAACAGCAGGCTTTAGCTGTGCCTGCCACCTTTGGATGGTGCTGCTTTCACTCACTCACTCACATGCCACAGGCTCGCACCTTCCAGGACGCGGATTGGCAGTGCCAGGTTAGAGGGCCACTGCCTCCCACCCTAGGACAGGAAGGACAATTCGTGTAGGAAACTATGGTGACGCCCCCTTAAAAGGCCCAACTCCCTGAAAACCAGACTCACCCCAAAAGGATAAGCTCTTTGCTATTGTACTGATCCCTCAACTTTAAGCATCATTCACACATTAGACACTTTATCCCTATTGTTAGAACATTATAAAATAGATGTGTGCTTTTTTAAAACTTTATTTTCCAGATAAGGAGAGGTAGACTCAGGGTCTGAATCCACAATTGTCTGTGTGGAAAGCTTCTGTTCAGCTCTGAAAGCCGGGTGTGTGGCAGTGGACAACCATCCCAAAAATATTAGATGGTGAAAGAAGGAGCTGGAAATGAGACAAAGTGGTATGTGTGCATCTGCAAAGGAAAGTGGATGCTGCTCCAGTCTAGGAACTTTCTAGGAGACCTTGACACAAGCTGCCATTCTGAAACAAGCAAAAGTGAGGAAAGAGAACAGGTAATGCAGAATGGAAACTGCAGTTTGGGCAAGTCAAGGACTTTGACCTAGCAATGTAATGCTATTAGAGTTGGGACGTCCTGGGATTCTCAGAACTTTGCAATTGATTTCTATAGTTTGCTTCAAGAAATTTCAAGCAAATGTCCTGAGATTTTATATATCTATAATAATAAAAGCGTAATATGCTAATTAGACCAGACATCCTTCCGGACGAAGCCAGGGCTGCGAGGGGAGCCCCTCCTGGGTGCCAGAGGGAAGCCGGTGTTGGCAGCCAAGGGAAGGAAGGCATACTCTTGCACGACAGGCCTTCCCTGCTGGCCTGATACATCTGCACATTTGAATGTGTATATTATCTATACTAATAAGAGCTTTGGAGGCGATCAGGCCAGCAGGGGAGGGCAGTTGGGGGCAATCAGGCCAGCAAGGGAGCAGTTAGGTGTCAATCAGGCTGGCAGGGGAGCAGTTAGGGGGTGATCAGGCTGGCAGGCCGAAGCAGTTAGGGGCAATCAGGCAGGCTGGCTGTTGAGTGGTTAGGAGCCAGCAGTCCCAGACTGTGAGAGGGATGTCTGACTGCCAGTTTGATCGGGCCTAAACCAGCAGTCAGACATCCACCGAGGGGTCCCAGATTGGAGAGGGTGCACCGGGCTGAGGGACCCACATCCCCACCCTGTGCATGAATTTCGTGCACTGGGCCACTAGTGTAAATAATAAAAGGCAAAAATCTAATATCTATGTAGTGAACTTACAAACACTCCCTGTGTCCTCCTTGATGCTTCCATGCCACTCAGGCACATCAGGTCTCCACAGCACTTGAGATGTGAGCCCCAAATTATTTACGCCACACATTGTGCATGTCAGCTTACAAAAGCAATGAGTTAAGGATTTGACAAATATTCCACCCCCACATTCCCAAACCATGAAGCTATAAGATGACAAAGGAGGGGGCAATACCCATCTCCATTACTGTCACCTCAGAAAATGGACAACCTAGTAGGTGACACTGAGCACTCCTCCACAAAGGAATATAAATCCAGATACTGAATTTCAGTCCCTCTAAAAAGGGGCTGGGAGAAAAAAAATTAGACTCCATGTCCATCAAGACCCCTGAAAAGAGACTGCTGATTAGGAGATTTGTCAGAGAATAACTTCCCACTGGGAAATTAAAATAATCGGTTGGGTATGAAAAATATGCACATTCTGGGTTTCAGACCAATTTCTCAGCTTGCCTTGTAAAAGCTTTCCAGGCTATTACTACATTAAGTGCAGACCAAGAATTCCCACAGTGGTTTGTAGATTCTATCACAGGGACAATTCAGAAATCACAGCAAACACCATGTTGTTGCCTATAAGCCTCTGAAAGTAAATTATGTGGATACATATCTGTTAGAGACATAAAAAGAATGTTAGCATCAGAACCTTCATCACAGAACCTAGGTGTTCTAATCCACCAGAGCTCACCTGTCCAATACATTGCCAACAGCCACATGTGGTTACTACACACTTGAAATGGGGCAACTGGAACTGAGACATGCAATGAGTGTGAAAGACACACGAGGCTTCAGACTGAGCATGGAAAAAAGAATGCAAAACATTAATAATTTTATAGTGATTAATGTTTACATGCTAATATTTTAGATACACTGAGTTAAGTAAGATTTATTATTAAAACCAATTTCATATGATGCTTTTTACCATATTTGCCGGCGTATAAGACGATTTTTTGGCCCTGAAAAATATGCCTCCAAGTGGGGGGTCGTCTTATACGCCAGGTACACTTCAGATAGACTGCCTATAGTGCTTGCCCCATGCCATAGTGGCCTCCCGATGCCCGCCCACTTCATTCCACATACCGTTCAGGCATCAGCAGCGCTGCTGGGTGTATGCTCGGCTGTTATGCGATTTTGCTGTTGTGCGATTTTACCACACTCGCAAAATCGCACACAGCCGACCATACACCCAGTATGATAGCGCAAAATCGCGAATCGCGATACCATACTGCGTGTATGGTTGGCTGTGTGCGATTTTGCGAGTGTGGTAAATTCGGGTTACCGTATATTTCTTTACATATGCATTGAAGATTCGCGATTTTGCGCTATCATGGTGCCTGTTAGAATGTTGAAGAGCTCGCACTTGCGCACTAGTGAGGTCCCAGGGA